TGTTCTATTCAAGCCCTCAATGCATTGGATGATGCCCAGCCACACTGGGGAGTGCCATCTGCTTTACTCAGTTCACCAATTCAAATGCTAGGTTCTTCCAGAAACACCCTCGCAGACACACTCAGAAATGTTTAACCAGATATATGGGCATCCCATGGCCTACTGGGCTAATCATCACATCCTCCTTTCCTATATTTACTCAGATGGTTTGAGATTTTGGAAAAGGGGGATAAAAAGACTCTCTTTAATCTGACTACATAGGGTAAGATTGCTATCCCCATGTGATTAATCATCACTGTGGCTCAAGTTTGATTTCTATAGAGCTTGCTGATAAGGAATCACACTCAAGCAGCTCCCTTAGATTTTTGTGGCATGTTGGAAGATTGAGCCATATCTTGCATGTGGCTCCTAGTTGATGATTCTCACAGAACATTCCTGTGATGTCATAGATTTCTTTGCCTTACTATGTAACTGTTTCTGGTAAGCCTATAGCTCAATAACTCCCTTCTCCCCAGCAACAACTCCAGAGCCTGTAGATACGGTAGGATTTATTTTTCACACCTCCAGAATTGGGAACTTTGGTAAGGAGTTCATTCTAGCCCTTTCTCCGCCAGGCCACACTACTACATAATTTCTGCAAAAATGTTCTTTCTAGGCTCCTATAGCATCTAGGTAGCTCAAAACCCCAGTGATGAAGCAGATATCTAGCAGAGGAATAAAAAGTGAATTGTGCCATCTTGTAGATATCCCTAAACTTTATGTATAATTCTTTTAGGATCCTACTCCATTGGCTTTGGGAATCAAGCGTAACTATCTGCCATATTTATAAGAGATAAGGAGAGGGGATAAATTCTTTTTACAAACGCTGTACTTCCTCAAATATAAGCCCACTCTCTTCCTTCCCAATACTACATCACCCTTCTATTATTTCAAGGTAAGAGCGATCAAACCAGTTTACCCTCTTTTTGTCCTTAGGGCACATGAGTCCCAAACTGAAACTCTTGTATCCTAACTTAGTCTTGGAAATTTTTCAAATTTTGTTCTTAACATGTTATCTATCTCCAACTCCCCAGAAAACTTTAAGGGACAAGAAAATATCTCAATCAACACCTCATAACATTTTAGTAAAGATAGCACTTCCAGGACAATTTTTACTTATCTTTAAAACATCACTTCATTACAACCAACTTCCTATATGGCATAATATCTAATGTGGAACAATATACAAACGTATATTTTCATCCAAGAAAATGTGATGGTTTCAAACAAGACTTTTTCCATATGGGTCAAAAAGACAATAGCAAAACATTTAGCCACTGAAAGAAATAAAACTCCAACTGCTAGACTTCCAATTGGGAACTTTGAAAGTCAATGGTTATGTCACAGTGGTTTCTCTACTTGAAGAGGTTTCTTTCTAGGTAATTCCTAATTTTCATAAAAGCTTTTCTGTCTTGCTCTAAACACAGTTTCTTAAATGAAGAACAATTCTGTTGTGGATGCATTCAGTCAACAAATATTCACTAATCATCCACTTGGTACAAGGAACCTAGTCACTGGTTATGCAAAGTAGAAAAAAACAGATGTGTTGGGTCCTCATGGATTTTAAAGACAAGTTGATCTAGCTAAGGAAAGAATTCAACTATGCCTACTCTTCAAATTTTGTTAGAAATCATCTAATAATGGTAAAAAATGTGTAAACTTTTATTGGCAATTTATTAGGCTCTGTGGTAAGTACTTGATATATGTGATTTACTTCTAACAATGCGTTTTACAAAGGAAGCACACACACCTTGATAAGTAATTGACCCAAAGTGACGCATCAAGTTAGTAGCAGCCAGGACTTTTATCCAGACAGCTCATGTTTCTAATCAGCATCCTTTCAGCCAATATCACTAATAGAGCTATTTGTATGAAGAGTACTCTGTGAGACAGAACCCAGAAATCACTAGCATCCCTTTAAAAGATAATTATTAGATGTGGTTTTGTAAGTTGAGCTTTCGGGACTACGTGCTAATATATCTATTGGAAACACCAAGGAGGAATATATCTGCCAAGAAGGACTACTTGTGGTAAACTGGACCTAAACTCGTAATCAGAGTCTAGCAGTCATTGTTTACAGAGAGTCTCTCAAGCAAAATACATATCAGGGAAAGCTGCAGACTGAGTTGCCAAGCCTCCTGTATCATGTTCTTCCTGGCTAAGACAACCCTATAAAGGAGCTCCTGCAATCATATTTTGACCAATGGACTGAGACTTGGCCCGCCCAATCAGAGTTATGTAGTCATATCTTCATTTGCATATTTACCAACCAATCAGAACACTTTCATAATGACAAACCAGGAAGCACAATTCTGACCAATCAGAACAATGCTATTTGAACCAATCAAATTGTGCAAATTTGGATCCCTCATTTGCATAAAAACAGAACAATCAGGGATCAGGGCATTCACTATTTACATATAAGTAGACCTCCTCTTTTTCTTGGGTGAGCATACTTTTGGTTTCCACCTAAGGCTGCATTTGCCATTTTTGCAAACTGTTCACCTGAATGAAGTCTATCCATTTACCACAGCCCACAGTGGGGATTCATGTTGGCATTGGATTGGTGGCAGCGACCTTCTATTGACACCATATGTCCCTAAAAGCCTGTGTGTGTGTGTGTGTGTGTGTGTGTGTGTGTGTGTGTGTGTGTAAAACTTTATATATCTCCAAACTATATATGCACTAGACACATACTCTTCCTTTATTCAATGTCCCAGCTAGTTTAGCAGGATAGGAGATTACATAGGAGTTTGGAGCCAAACCTAGCCTTTTTCTGGCCTGTCTTGCCTCAGTGCATACAACTCTTTTGGTTGCTTTATCACAAGCAATACCTCCTAATTATTTTTTTATAATAGTACCACTTTTCTAAAGACATCTCTATTTTCTAACTGTGATAATTTTTTTTAGTTATTTCTATATTTTTCTAAAAGTGTGTGTGTGTGTGTGTGTGTGTGTGTGTGTGTGTGTGTGTGTGTAAAACTTTATATATCTCCAAACTATATATGCACTAGACACATACTCTTCCTTTATTCAATGTCCCAGCTAGTTTAGCAGGATAGGAGATTACATAGGAGTTTGGAGCCAAACCTAGCCTTTTTCTGGCCTGTCTTGCCTCAGTGCATACAACTCTTTTGGTTGCTTTATCACAAGCAATACCTCCTAATTATTTTTTTATAATAGTACCACTTTTCTAAAGACATCTCTATTTTCTAACTGTGATAATTTTTTTTAGTTATTTCAAGTTGGAGAAAGGAACATTTACATTCAAGGTGAGTTTCTGTCTCAAGTTTAGTTACTTCACTTACCTCCTGCTTATTTTTAATTTTTGAAACATTCACATCAAAAGGCTTTGAAACTTACTTCTGTATATTAGGTACTTAACCTCTGAGATCATTCTAAGGAGATATCTGTAGGGGTGGTTTGGAAGGTTTGGAAAGAACTCTGTAAAAAACATCACACAAATTTACATAAAATGGCCAAGGTCTGACAACTGGACTTCTCCCTGAAGATTTACTTCACAGATAATTTTGAAAACACCAACTGTGTTCAGAAAGGTGCGGCCCTCTTGCAAAACGAAACTTTGAAACAAGCTAGTATGTTTCAAAAGTGATTTGATGTTGTATGGAGCCAGAGAAAATATTTTCTGTGTGGTACAGGTGAACATAATCAAACAATGAGGCTTTTTCATTCTGTGGAATGAAGCATTTCTTTAAAAATGAAACCTCATAATTTTTGTTTTGAGGCATGTTCACTTTATTATTTTTTTAAAATATATTTTATTGATTTCTTACAGAGAGGAAGGGAGAGGGATAGAGAGTTAGAAACATCGATGAGAGAGAAACATCGATCAGCTGCATCCTGCACATCTCCCACTGGGGATGTGTCCGCAACCCAGGTACATGCCCTTGACCGGAATCGAACCTGGGACCTTTCAGTCCGCAGGCCGACGCTCTATCCACTGAGCCAAACCGGTTTTGGCGAGACATGTTCACTTTAAAAAAAAAAAAGGAAACTAAGAGATTATTGGGAAGGCTATATACAACCCACTCTAACTCTTTGCCTAGGTTTCTGACAAGTCCCTTGCCCCCTCCCTACCCTAGTCCTCACTCTAAATTTCCTAGAAGGGTATAAATGCAGGACACAAGGTGGAAAATGGTGGCTGTGCTTGTGCAGGGTGTGCGTATGTGTGTGTGAGGTGGTGGCCAGCGAGAAGAGGACAGAAAGCAGAAAACGCCAAAACCAAGGCCTGGGGCGGGAGTGGGAGGGGGTGGAGGGTGTTGCAGAACCGCCTAGGTAAACAGAGGAGGGCAAATTCCAACCCCAGGAACGTGATGCCACTTGTGGGCCCTCAGATTGGATAGGACAGAGATGAGTGAGAGGGTGGTGCCTGCTGGGCCCCCGAGCACAAACCGGAGGAGGGGGCTGTATGTGCGAGTGCATGAGCCGGGGGAGGGGACTCGCGCTCCTGCTGCACTGGCCTCGGGAGTTGGGGGGCGAGCTCCTTGGTGACGCGAGGCCCTCACGTGACCGGGAGCTGCAGAGGGACGCAGCCTTCG